GTTTTTAGTGACAATTTTTGTAGTTGTTTTCAATACACTGTATGATATTGACAGTGAGAAAAAAAAATGAAAAATTAAAATAATCGAAAATTTGAAAAATCGAGAAATCTAATAATCGAAAAATCGAAACCTTAAAAAATTGTAAAACCGAAACATTGAAAAATCGAAAGATCGAAGAACTGAAAATCGAAAAATGAAACATCAGAAAATCGAAAAAACGTAAAATTCAAAAATCTAAAATTTAAAAATCGAATAACGAAAAACTGAGAAATCGAAACTCCCAAATTTAAAAAGTCGGATGACTGAAAGATCGAAACATCGAAAAACTGGAAAATCGAAAAACCGAGAAATCGAAAAATCAAAAGATCAAGAAATCATGGAGTCGAAAAGTCGAAGAATTGAGAAACAGAAATAGGCCAAAATCGAAAAATCGAAAAGTTAAAAATTGAACGATTTATAAATTGACAATCAAAATATCGGAATATCCAAATCTCGATAAATCGAGAAATCAAAAAACTTAAAATTCGAAAAATTGAAAAATTGAGAGATTCAATGATCAAAAGAGCGAGAAATCGAAAAGTGATAAAGTCGAAAAATTGAAAAATACAGAAATCGACAAACAAAAAGTTAAAAGTTGAAAAATTGGAAAAGCGGAAAGATAAAAAAAACGAAAAAATGGAAAACGGAAAAAATGAGAAACCGAACTAGGCCAAAATAAAAAATTGAAAAACTGATAAATCGAAAACCTGAACAATCAAATCTCGATAAATCGGGAATGAAAAATTAACAAATCGAAAAATTGAAAAACAGAACATCTAAAACCAGGAAGTCCAAAAATCGAAAGACTAAGAAATATTGAAAAAGTAAAATATCAAAAGATTGAACAATCTAAAATTGAAAATCCAAAAATTGAAAAATCGAAAAAGTAAAACACATCGAAAAATCCAGAAGTCCAAAATAGAAAAACCGAAGAATTGAAATATTGAAAAATTCTAAAACTGAAATATCTAAAAACTTAAAAAACGAAAAATCAAAAAAATGAAGTCGAAAAATAGAAACCTTAAAAAATCGAAAAATTGAAAAATCAAAAACCTGAAAAATCAAAAAATTAAAGAATTGAAGAACAGAAAAATCGAAACACTCGAAGGTCAAGAAATGCGAAAATGAAAACATCGATTAATTGAAAAATCTAAAAATTGGGAGTTTATAAAAGTGACATGTGAAAAACAGAAAATCTAAAACCGCGAATTCGAAAAATCAAAAGATTAAGAAATCGAAACATTTGAAAAATTCGAAAACTTGAAAAATTGAAATATCGAAGAACTGAAATGAAAAATCGAGAAATCGAAAAATTGAAAAATCGAAAAATTAAAGAATTGAACAGGAATATCGAAACCCTCGAAAGTCAAGAAATGGGAAAATCAAAACATCGATTAATTGAAAAATCGAAAAATTAACAGTTTATAAATGTCAAATTTGAAAAATTGAAAAATCGAAAATTTGAAAAAACGACAATTGAAAAACAGAAAATCTAAAACCGGAAAGTCGAAAAATCGAAAGATTAAGAAATCGAAACATTTGAAATATGGAAGAGCTAAAATGAAAATCGAGAAATAGAAGAATCTAAAATTTTAAATATTGAAAAATTAAAATTCAAAAAAATTGAGAAATCTAAAAAATTTAAAAGTCAAAAATAGAAAGTCGAAGAACAGAAATATTGAAAAATCCCAAAACTGAAATATCGAAAAACTGAAAAATGAAAGAAAAACTGACGAATCAAAAAACTGAAAAATTCCAAAACTGAAATATCCAAAAACTGAGAATCTAAAGAATCGAAAAATTGAAAAATCAAAAATCTGCGTAATCGTAAGATCGAAAAATTGAATAATAAGTGAACTGAAAAATCCTAAACCTGAAATGTCGAAAAACTGAGAAATTAAAAAATTGAAAAATTGAGAAATCGAAAAATCAAAAAAGTGAAGTTGAAAAATCAAAACCTGAAAAAATAGAAAAATTGAAAAACCAAAAAACCTGAAAAATCAATTAATTGAAAAATCGACAAATAAAGAGTTTATAAAAGTCTAAAATTGAAAAATCGAAATATTTAAAAATCGTAAAATTGAAGAGAAAAACTGAAAACCGGGAACTTGAAAAATTGAGAAATTAAAAATTAAATAATAAATATGAGTAAACTGAAAAGTCCCCAAACTAAAATTTCGAAAAACTGAGAATTCGAAAGTTGAAACAGCAAGAAATTATGGTCGAAGCCGGCTAGGATGTATATCAGATCACGGACCATGGCTTATAAATCAAATCGTTTCCGAACGCTTAGAGTCGACATTGGCCTGAGTGCGCTCTGGTCTGTAGATCAAACAAGTTTTCAGACGACGAACTGTAATTCGTGTGATCTGAATTACAGTGAAGGAAACAGTAATCAGCTTGTAATATTCTGATACTCGTAAATCTAGTGTTAATTTGTCGAAACTAAAACGCGTCGTTAAAAATATTATTACATTTTTTCTAGTTAATTTTATTCCTAGTTAGAAACGAACACTGTTGCCAACATAAGTCGAGGAGTCCTCAACCTCAACCGTCATTTAATTTAAACTATGACGCTTCTCTATGTTCTCTGATCTCAGTATCATAGTGCTCATTCACAATGGGCATAAAGCCTAAGGATGTCCTAAGCATTATGCTCACTGTGAACGAATAGAAGCATAGAGCACTAAACAAAAAATTCTTATGCATTAATCCTTATGACATCCTTATGCTTTATGCCCATTGTGAATGAGCACATAGACTCAGTAAACTCGGGTTTTAGCGATCGGCACCGGCGGCCAGAAACGCAGCAGCATCTGTTTCTAATAAACCTGTCGCACTGTTGCAATCCCATTGTGGCAAATCTAACACCCCATTAACTAAATTACCAATCTTTAGCCTACAATAGTATGACTAATTTATGATTCAGGACAATAAAATACTTAAATTTTGTCTTCAGATCTTCAGTGAAACTTTATGCTGTAAGACGTAAAAAAAAATTCAGTTTCAATTGTGTTTTATGAAAACTTTCGTATTTTCAAAACTATTTTAATATTGTGTCTGTGGTGCTTTTTGGGAATAATAAATTATATCTGATGTATGTTACAACCAATTTTTTAAGTAGAAAAAACACTGGACCACCAAATTATTACAGAATGAGTACCTAGTACCTGCACTAGTTTCAGTGAAATTATCACAACATGTTTCACTTTTCTTACAATAGGTACATCGTTCGCTGGCTTCAGCGGAAAGATCTTTTTCGAAACTAAAAATGACTAAATTTTTTTTAAGTAACACAATGGGCCAATGCAGATTATCTTCACTGGCTTATTATCTCACTTGAAAATCAAATTGCCAGAAGCTTAGATGTGTCAAATCTTGTATCAACTTGTGCCCATTGGAAAGCAAGAAAAAAACAATTTTGAGATAAAAAAAAACGGGAATTTTTATTTTTAATATACATTTTAATTATATGTATTTAGGTAGTTATTATATTTTGTTTTTTAATTCAGTGTTTCAGGTAGAATGATTTTAATAAAACGTAAGCCCTAATTGCAATATACTCATACTTTACTCATTATACTCGTATTTTTAAATAATTTTTATTTCGCTGTTCATTAGGGGCCCCACAGTGTTGTAGAACACAGGCCCGTAGATTTATTGTTACGCCACTGCACAGCAACAACGTTATTTTCCTGTTTTAAACACCCTTAAGGTGTGCATTAACAGGGTTGAAAAACGCGTCCATTAGTTTCTGACGAAACGGAGAAACGCAGACTGCGTATTACGCTATTACCATATTTAAACAAACGCAGGTAATTGCTCAAATTTATAAGTTTCATTACCTCGCTAAAAACGCAACAAAATTACGGGAAAGAGATGAATTTGCATAATTATGAAAGGCCGTAAAGGTCTAGCGTGCTTATTTATCTCTCCTCGTTTACCGCATCACGCCATATTCAAATATTTTTTAATCAACGCAGAATACCATCCGGAATTAATTCCATTATTCTTAATAAAACTGCATCTACAAATAGCCGGTTCTCATGCTTGTGCGTATGCTAATTAAGGTCGATGGAAAGATCGCTTAACGGCTCTCACAAGTAGCGAAACTACCCGTTGTTTCGCGAGTCAATTAATTTATTCAAAACATAAAATTTTACAGCGAAGTGTTTAGTTGAAGTAATTTAGTCGTGAAGTTTAACGAGTAACTTATTCAGCAGAAACAAGAGAACACCGTTCATGTATTTCCCATGTGGATAATGTTAAAACGTTCGTGAAGCAATATACTAATTGATATAGTGTAATTGCCAAAAGCGCCTCCATTACGGCTTTTTTTGTAATTTATGGAGTGTGAAGCAACGAAATTTTAAATTATGCAGACTTTGCTGCTAACGTGCTACACTGGATAAAATTCCTTAGCGAAATTCAAAGGTTTGCAGTTGCGGTAATTAAAGCTATTTATTTTATTTTGATAAAATGAGGACTGTTTTGTCTCTCTAAACAAGCTGCTTCGGGAAATGCATTTTCATTATGTTGGCTTTTTACGACCCTTAGCTGTATCATAAATTTGCCTTTAAAAATTAATCCAAAATGTGTGCTAGAATGAAAATTTACTGATGTTCATATTTTTGAGAAATTCAATTTCCACTTAATTTCGGCGCTTTTCCGCCATCATGGCTGGATTAACATGTTCGCAAGCGTTTTAATAATGAAAAATAAAATTTTAAAAAAGTTCATTTAATTTTTTTTTTCCCAAAATGAAATATCTAAAAGCTGCAAAAGCTGGAAAAAATTGCCAAACATCTTAGGAAACACGAAACTACACATTTCTGAAACTACATTGTCAAAATAACTCCGCTCGCAGTCAAAAATCGATAAATACCACAATTAACACCGCATAGCGCTATGTAACCAGAAATATTTTCTAGCATGTCAACTTAGGAAAAAAAAACACAAAGTCTGTAGTACCATTTATTAAATAAAAGGAAAAGACAAGGACTGTGCTATTGTTCCTTACTGTACAACTCATGCCGCCTTAACAATTAAGCCTTAGAAGCAAGCGCCCCCAAGGCCACAATACAACTATCAATGTTCTGTTTCTCTTGATCAGGGGTAATAGAAGCCTTCACTTTCTTCACGACCCAATCGACAAGATTCTTCTGACCGATCCTGCGCTCAATATTTTGTTTCTCCACTTGATAATCCAAACGTTTCTTTACTTCCTCATACGCCGCCAGCAGACGATTACGGTACGCCGCCTCCAACTGCAAGGCAACATTTTCGCGTTTAGCTTGAATAAGCATATTCTGCCCTTCCATGCTCCACTGATTCCTCTCCTCGTCGGAGATGGCCTCTTGAAGCGTATCTTTGTTAACGGTGCGGGTTTCATTCCATTGTGACTCATAGTCCTACATAAAATCACACTATACCTTTCATGTTTTGACCAAATCACCAAACTTACGTCAATTTCTTTATCGAGATATTTAGCTAGTTTGGGCCCCAAAATCTTGATGCCCGCAATCCACATAATAGCCAACGAGAGTCCGTTGTAGAACTCGTGTTCCATAACGTAGATTTCCTTACTTATGAGGTAGGTGGAGAATGTGACGGCGAAGGTGTAAGGACCTGTGACGCCGGTTTTTTTATAAAAGAAGGTAAACCACTCGTCGGGGACAAAACCCAGCCGGACTTTGCCCGGTTCTTGACGAACCTATTGGCAAAAATTTAGTCACGAAGTAGTGTCAGGTTAATTACTTACGGGTCGCCGAAACATGGGGCCATCGTCTTTAGTCGCCGGAGACGAAGTGGCGCTGCACGCTTTTGTGGTGTGAGCCACCAACGATCGAACCTGTCGGCCTGAAAATCCAAAAAGAGGGGCTATTACATAAACGGAATAGTGTGACAAAAATAAGGTTATTTACTATATTCATTCAGCTGAAATGTTCCACTGACGTGTGGAGAATACTTACCGGATAAAATTGAGGCCCGGGATAACATTTTACAAGGGTTTTTTAACTAAATTAGAGGGTGCACAAAATGTCCGGGCTGCAGCCCCAAATCCACCTGTCAAGAACTAGAGAGAGCTGCACTTATGCAACCGTACGCGATAGACGAAGATAGAGTGTTACGTAATCACTGCCAACACAAAAACACCAAACACCCCAACTACTGTTTGATACGTCAACTTATAAATCAAACTCGTAAAACTTCATTATTCAATTAATTACAATACAGAAACGTAAAAAAAACACAATTTCGACAATTAACAATTATAAATTTAAATGATTCTTCCTGTAGGTTTCATGAAGCTGTGACACTTGTTCCAAATGGGAGGAAATTTGCGCAGTATTCCGATCAATCCACTGAAGCGAATTCATATGAGCGTTTAAAATGCGACTAATCTGGATAACGGGATCTGAAATATCCTCGTTCTTGTTTGATTCATTCAAATGCTCCACGATTTCTTTCAAATCCTCAGACATTTGTTTCAACTGTGAATCAATAATCTCAGACAATTGGTACCTAAAATGCGTCATTTTAAATCATGTAATTACACAAATAAACAAAGTACGTTTGAAATCTATTTTGGTCTGTGATAGGTATATCGGCTAATTGTTTCTCCAGTGGCAAACTTAACTCATCCAGTTCGTTCTGCTGGGCTAAAACAAAATCAAGTTCTTGATCCAGTTGCTTCTGTTGCTGCTTAATACGCTCGATTGTTTCATTCAAAGCTAAAATTTTGTCACTGTTTGACACCAATAGGTTGTCCCAGGCGTTCAACTGTTTGGCTTGATTGATAAAAAATTTCCCTTGTTCCTCTAAATCTATTGTCCATTTGTTTATGGAATCTTCCAACTGGACATATGTTAGAGTACCAGTTGGTGCCACTGTTGCTGTTGTTGTGGTGGTGACAGCTGCAGCCCTACATCATCATCATTAAACAACAATCAACATTATTATAAAAATCATTACTGAGTTGTTGATGTTGATATTCCCCCTAGCCCCAAACCTGGAGTTGTACTAGCAGCAGTGCTTCCAGGAGTCAAAGAAGTAGTTAATTTCAAAGGCGCTGAAGTCGCAGCAGCGCTCGAAGCAAGCGACGTTCCACCCCCAAAAATAGGGGTAAAAGAAGTAGCAGCAGTTGTATTTGCTGTTGTGCTACTCCCTAAGCTAAACTGAGCTGTAGTCGCGGCGGCAGCAGCAGCAGCTACAATTCTCCCTCATTACTCGTGAACTCCCCCTACACAAATACTCACGAGTGATGGAAAAACTTGGGGTTGGTGCAGCACTTGTGATCGTGCTAATGCCAAAACTTGGCGCTGGCGCTGTGGTTTTAGGGGTGGTGTTCAGTGAAAAAGCCGGGGTGGTCGCAGGTGCCCCGAATAAACTCGTCAAGGGTTTGGGTGGTGGTTTATTGTCACCGGCGCCCCCCGTGGCAGTTGTGGTACCTTTATGACGGATTTAATTTTCGCAATAGATGGTTATTCGTACTTACTTGGGGTGCTGGAGGTGGGTAAGGTGAAACCCGTGGCTGATTTGGTGGCTCCGAAATTTAAATTCATTGTGGATGATCGCGAAACTTAAATGTGGAGGTTAGGAACGCTGTCGAATTTTGGTGTTGGGTCGTTGGGTGAGGCGAAAGTGGCGCCATCAGTCGGTATTTGTAACAAACGTAATGTGAAATGAATGAACGCTGTAAAATTTCAAAATTTGGAACTTGTTATGTGATTACACGAAAATCGATTTTATTCCTATATTATAACAAAATCACAACATTGCAGCTCTTTAAGTACTAACGCAAACACCCTATAACAGTGGTCTTTCTTTAATTTGGTTATTGAAAGATAGATGGCGCAACGAGGAATGTGACAAAAATTGACAGTTGTTACAATTATCGGTAAACTATTCACATTTTAAAATGCTTTACCATTAGTTCTTAATTAATTTGTTACAAACACCGTTTAGGAATTTATATCCACCTGGAGTGAAAATTTAAAGAGAAATCTAGAAATCTTATTAATAAAATTGACAGAGTTAAAGGCGCCAAAAAGAAATTAACTGAAAATAGTTCAAAATAACTTTGAACTATAGATCGGTTCACACTTAATTTTTAAGATGACGTCATCAATGTCTGAAAGAGGTGACGAAAAAATATATTTCAGATAATTTTGAATTTTTTTAAGTTTCTAAATTAATTCATTTACGTTTATGTACTCTTTAGACTATTATTAACGATATAGAAAGTAAATATTTTGAAATATGAATTATAAAATTCAGAACCTTATTATCGTTTTAATAAGCTTATCTAAAGTCGCGATCTTTTCTATAGAACCACTCCCTAGTGTAAATTTTCAAAATTTGTTTGGTGTAAGTGACCTTGACGGGTTTCTGGGGGAAAACATATGTGTCAAAAATTTGACAGGTTAGATGGCCCCATTGTCAATGTAGATATTTTATTTTAATAAATAGATGAACAGAACATACAGTCTGCACGGGATACAGTGCGGCATAGCGGAGGGCAACCGAAACATTCGTGTTGTAGTAGTTTCGATTGCCGTATCAACTACCGCTACCAACCGCGTTCGGCGTAAAGTACTAGATGACAGGGCTACCAACTTGACTTTTTATCGAGTGGTTCCGTAGAAATGACCGCTACTGTAAACAGTTATTTTATTTCAAAGTCTGGCTTTTGAAATATACTTGAGTCATTAAAATACTCATATATTATTTGTAACTCCCGATTTATATATAATCCAAAGTACAGAGTCATCAAAATTGATTGAGAGAGTTGGTAAACCTGAACTTGAATAATTTGGTTTATTAAGTTGTATAAAAATATTAGCTGTCAGATTTGAAGTTTCAAGTTTCAAATTTCAAAACTCAGTGGCGTCTTTTTTCGACTTTTTTTTTTGGTAAAAACATTAGTTGTCAGATTTGAAGTTTCTAATTTTTGTCACGCCACTGAATTCATTGCCATATAACCTTAAACAAATCTGTCATAAGGTTGACAAACTTCACGACAAAAACAGGAGGTACCAACTCTCTCAATCAATTTTGATGACCCTGTACTAGAGTTTATACTAGGCGAACGTCTGAAAATAAACAAGATAAAAAATAATTTTGACAATCAGACAGTTTCAAATGTCAGTAGAACAATGAATTTATTCATTTGACAGTTAAATGGAATGAAATGGGACACTAAACTGAACGACAGGCATATGACCGAAAAAAATTCCATGAAAAAAGGCCATGGAATTTATTTTTTAAATAATCATGTTGGCACTGCATTTAACACTTTATTTGGCAGTTATTTGACCCTAACTGTCAGACTGAACCAGGAACGTGTTAGTGGGGCCAACATCATTTTTTTACCTTTAAATTTCAAAGCTTACTAGAGGACTTTTTTCGGTCATTATATAGCATTTGTGTTTTTCACTACTCTGTACTTTATCTCAATTTTTGGTGAAATTCACAGAGTAAAATTGCACGAATTGAATTAGTAATAGGTATAACACTAGTCACACCTTCTACATACTTTTAAATATATAAATAAATGAATAAATTCATTGCTATTAGGGTTTGAATGAGTAAATCGATGGAGAAGTATGACACATATTTATTTGAACGAAACTGATGATTCATGAAAATTACGTTTAAATCAAAGCTGACTGCAGGTGTGCCCAGCTTAAAACTAGATTTTTTTTGAAAACAAATATTTTGGTCTCGAATAATCTGAAAAAGAAAGAAATAAATAAAGAAAGAAAGGCAAAATTATGGTGTTGCACGAAGCTGTATATAATAGTACAGAGTTCTCAAAAAATATATAACCTTAAAAATTGGTCGAAGGTTATTTCGATAGAACTTCCGTCGCCCCTGAAGTATAGTACACCAAATCCAACTGTTTAAAAAATATATAAAATTCTTATATATATAATATTCAAGAAAAGAAAAATACCCTTGCTAAGCGTTTATTTCAAATGAGTTTTTCCATTGCTAAATTTTGTGATTATGTCATCAATTTTCGGAAAAATGGAGTGAGTAGTTCTTGATTAATCAATAAAATAGTGTTACGTTGAACGGGTGAATAAAATCAGCGTAGGTTAAACTCAACAATTTATTTCTTAACAACTCGAATTACACGTCTGTTTATTACACAGCGATTATGTAAAATAATTCCGGTGCAACTTGACAGTACTCTAAGCCCCTATTTAAACCTATGCGTGCTTCTCGATGGATCCAGAACGCCGCTTCGAGGGTTTTTTTGGGCCCGTCGCGACATCCGCTGCCAGACTTTCCTTTAGCGAACGCCGCTTGGCCCGGCTGATGAGTCATATTACACACGAAACTACTAGAAGAAACACATACATACAAATTTTGAGATGACGTCATCAATTTTTTGGAAAGGGATAAACGAATAAATTTTGATTGACGATTTACCATCGTTACGATAACCCTAAAACGTTTGCAAAATTTCAGAGCATTCAGTTTTGCAGTTTCCATGTTAAATCGCAAAATGTTGTTATACAATTTTTATTTTTTTCCAAAAATTTTAACGTTTAGGGTGAAAACTGAACACGGATTCGCACATCACGAGTGAAAGAGTATCTTATTTTATGAAATTGAAAAAGTATATTATTGTAAATTTTGGAGATGACGTCATCCCGTTGGTGGTGGAGATGATTAGCCAACTTTCGGTTAGCGTTTTACCACCTACATGATATTCTTAATATAATTTAACAACAATCGGTCAAGTAGTCTCGGAGATTATCTGGCTAATAAAAATCGACACAGACGACACATAGACGGAACCCAGAGACCAGTTTTTTCGTACTCTAGAGGTCATGAAATGTCGCGAAATCATGAAAGTAGCAAATCGCCCGAAGGACTCAATTTATACTTCCTTGTAGCTTACTCTCGGGTGGTAAAAATTACAAAAATTGTATCAGAATTCTTTTTGATCAAAAAATTATCCACTAGCCAAAATTGGACACTTTAAAAATACTCTAAAATCGTGATAAAAACTCGAGAATAAGCAAGTACTAAAAAAAAATAATAAAACCCTAAAAATTCCCCTGAGAGATCAGCTTTGATATATTTTTAAAAGACAATTTGAAATTTACATAAGTTTATAAAAAAAAAAAAAACAAAATTGACAAAAGGACAAAAATTAAACGTCAAAATACCCCAAAAATTACAAATAAGAGAAGAGAAAGACATACAAAATGAAAGCCCCCCACTTCCTGACTTCTCAATTTGTAGACCATTAATTTATAAGTACTAAGAGAGATACAATAGAAATATTTTGAGAAGAATACACCAACAAAATTATCAATTTGAGAATTTTGAGAGGTTTATTAATGTATAGGAAAATACATTTTTTAGACTCCCTCATTTCAACCTAAGTGATAGATTGTGGTGAAATGTTATTCTCATAATATTTCCACTCTAGTATTTTAATGCTTTGGATCAAAGGTTTCAAGTGAAAAATGTCATCTCACCAAAGCATTTCGAAAGCATCTTAGTCGTCAAATATTTAAATTTCTTTCTATAAAATTATTTGGCAAAAAATTTAAGTAAATTCACGAAGAAACAGTTGTGCATTGTGCAACATTTGTTTCAATAGAAGCTTCAAATCTTTTTTTTTTGTTATTCAGCGCTTAGGTAGTGGTAAAGTCAAAGACATCAAATCTATTTCTTTCTCGTATTGAACAGTAAATTTATAAATACGTTTTGTGATACAATCCACATCATTGACTAGAAGGAATATCCCCGAGTACTATTTTAATCTTCAATGAAGTCTAATAAAATCCCATCAAATTTTTCTCAAATCCGGGTCATCATCACCATCACGCCGGCGAATTTCCTCGCGCATTTCAAAAGCCCCGAAAGAAATAAACCCAAACAAACACATCACCGACATGTAAGAAAAGATGAAACAATGGCACAAATCCGTCCAACATCAACTTCAAAGGTAAGGTCACCGGACGCGCCAAAATAAATCTCGGTGTATGAATGATGAGGCAATTAGTATCGTCTAAACGTCAATCATCGGCGTGAATTACGACAATTCCTTATTTTATTAAAGTCGGATGGACAAAGTTATAAAATAAGATCAAACATCGAAAAAATCTTTAGGAGGGCGCCGAGGATTATGTAAACAGCTTATGTTAGGCAAATAAAGCTTTTCTACATATTCAAACAATCAGAGTGGTATCAAAAGTGCCGACGCGGGACCAAAATACTTTGACTGTTTTTAAAACTTCACACTCGCGTGTTCGAAGGGCCAAAGTATACAAACTCGGCGGTCTCGTTTCAACTTTCTTTTTTCCACGAATCGATTTTCGACAGGTTGGGTCGAGTGATTGTTTAACGACGGAGAGAATATCAGTTCGAATTATTCGAGTGGTTTCGGAACCGACTACTTTACGGAAAATAATGTTTATTTGATGAGTTGGCGTTCGGTTCGAAAAATTTTATCTTGTTCGGAAATTCCATGAAGGCTGTACGCAACTTTAAATTAAACTCGTGCTTTTCACGATTAGTCGATTTCTTCAAAAACGAACTGCGTAAAAAGTGTTCCCATTATCTACTTAAAATAACGATAACACAAAAATAAGGTTCTTCCAGTGAAACATTTTACTTATCAGCCTTTTTTCTTAAGCTTCATTTATAGTTTTTTTTCTGATGACATTGATATATACCTATATTTTAAGCACATACGAACTGTAAACTACTTTCTACTTTTTATTTTCTTGTCTATGGAACTAACGACTCCAAAGTACACCAGAAAAGAACCTATTCCATCATTGTAAAGTTTAATAAATCCAATAGAAATTTTATGTCGACGAAAAAACCGAGCCATTAAGAACATGTCAGTTAAATTAACGCATTAATTAAAAAATGCATGCAGTAACTTTTGGTGGGACCATAAAAATCTCCGCACGTTGTCATCGTCTCTAGTCGTAAAAATAAATCTGCATTCATTTGGTTTATAAAACAAAATTGTTTTTCCAACGTTTCTAAAAATTTATATCAACAATTAAGTTGTGAAAATTTTGTTAGCTCTGATTATGAAATAATTGTCTTAATTATTTATGTATATATTTATGTTAAACGATCACCACATAAGCCAATTCATCCTGATTATCACTTCGGTACAACGAACAAGGATTTAGCGAAATTTAGCACGATGTTTAGTTAAATATGTATTATGATATACCTATAATAAACTGATTATTTTAATAATGAATTTCCATGGGATTTGAGGGAGAAAACACAAAACCGTTGTAAACCGTATAGCGTTCGAATTTTATTTTATACAGGGTGATTTTTTGATTTGTGATCTAGTTATCCAAGAATTTGTTGATAGAAAAAATCGACCGAAATTTTACGACATGACTTGAACATGGGTTGGCTATGGCTGAACTTAGCAAACTAGGTTATGTTATATTTATATGTCAACAAGAATTAAACCCTCGTTGGAATTAAAAATGTTTTATTTATGATAAGTAACATATTTAATTAAATTTACAACAACTGCTGCTTTTCATTACATAAATTTATTCGACATTTCATGTTCTCAAATACTCGAATAAGATCTTTCGGCCAAATACGTACTTTCACACTCTTGTATGATTCTCACTTTTAGATCTTTTAATTTATATTCCATGATCGTTTAAAAATAGTGTTTTTTAAAGTCAGGAACAAGAAATAGTTAATCTAAAGGTATCAAATCAGGTGATCGAGGTGGGTAGATTAAATTACTTAAATAATTAAACAGTCGTCATAAAATTCCCTTAGAAAGATCAAACTTGTTTGAATGTTTGAGTTGTATGAGCTGTTGCGCAGTCATGCTGAAAATATCCATTCTACAATTCTTCGGAATCAAGCTGACCAATAAATTCCTGTAGGTATAACTGACTCCTCAAAAAAAAGGACCCAAATAGTACTTGTCAAGATAAGACTGATTTTGGCAGATGACCGATTCTTCTAAGAAAATAATGGGTGGGTGGGCGGGGCTAGTACTTGTCAAGATAAGACTGATTTTGGCAGATGACCCACTCTTCTAAAAAAATAATGGGTGGGTGGGCGGGGCTAGTACTTGTCAAGATGAGGCTGATTTTGGCAAATAACATACCCTGTAAGAAAATAAGGGTGGGTGGGCGGGGCTAGTACTTGTCAAGATAAGACTGATTTTGGCAGATGACCCATTCTTCTAAGAAAATAAATGGTGGGTGGGCGGTGCTTGTACTTGTCAAGATAAGACTGATTTTGGCAGATGACATATCCTCCAAGAAAATAAGTGAGGGTGGGCGGGGGGCTAATACCTGTCAAGATAAGACTGATTTTGGCAGATGACCCATTCTTCTAAGAAAATAAAGGGTGGGTGGGCGGGGCTAGTACTTGTCAAGATGAGGCTGATTTTGGCAAATAACATACCCTGTAAGAAAATAAGGGTGGGTGGGCGGGGCTAGTACTTGTCAAGATAAGACTGATTTTGGCAGATGACCCATTCTTCTAAGAAAATCAAGGGTGGGTGGGCGGTGCTTGTACTTGTCAAGATAAGACTGATTTTGGCAGATGACCCACTCTTCTAAGAAAATAATGGGTGGGTGGGCGGAGGGCTAGTACTTGCCAACATAAGACTGATTTTGGCAGATGACTTACTTGCTAAAAATAAAAAATTAAAAAATTAAAAATAACAAGTTCAAAAGTCGGAAAAACGAGAAATCGGAAAATTGTACACTGTATAATCGGAAAATCAAATAAAAAAACAAATCTTATAAAATCGAATTCGAAATTCCAGTTTTCATTTTTTTTTAGTTTATAGATTTTTCAGCCTTTGAATATTTCTTTTCATAATTTGTTTAACAATTTTGCAGTTTTCTTTTCTTTTGATGTTTCAAGTTTTAATTTTACAATTTTGGAATTTTTTGATTTTTAATTTTTCAAGTTATGAAGTTAAAATTTTTGCTTTTCACGATTTGTCATTTTTCGATTTTTTAATTAAAAGAACAAATTTATTCCAACCGAAATTTTGAAAAACCGAAAAATCCAAAAATTGATAATTAGAAATAAAATTTTCAGATGATTTAAAGTTGCGATGTTTCATGGCCAATCGCTTATGAAAATTACATTTTACTCCCTTCCAAAAACCCGGTGACAAAAAGTCAAAAATCGAAAATGTAAAAAAATAAACATCTATTTTCTCGATTTTTTTAAAAATCAAATAATTAAGAAATCGGAAAACTGTCAAAATTTAAAATTAAAAAATCCAAAGTTTTTTTCAGTTGCCCAGAGAAATCAAAAATCCAAAGACAGATGAAAAATTTTAAAATTTAAAAGGTGAGAGATTGAAAAATTCGAAAGTTCAAAAAACCAAAAACTGAAAAATCTAGCACTATTCGCTACGATAAGACTGATTTTGGCAGATGACCCACTCTTCTAAGAAAAAAAAGGGTGGATGGGTGGGGCTAGTACTTGCTAAAAATAAAAAATTAAAAAAAAAATAATTAAAAATTAAAAAATCGAAAAAAAAAACATCTTATAAAATCGAATTCGGAATTCCAGTTTTCATTTTTTTTTAGTTTTTAGATTTTTCAACTTTTGAATATTTGATTTTTTCTTTGACAATTCTGGAGTTTTTATTTCCAATCATTTGATTTTTCAAGTTTTAACTTCATAATTTTGGAATTTTTTGATTTATAATTTTTCAAGTTCTCAAGTTAAAATTTGATTTTCGGATTATACAGTTTTACAATTTTCCAATTTGTCATTTATCCGGTTCTTTAATTTGTCATTTTTTGATTTTAATTTTTTTTATTTTTAGCAAGTACTAGCTACACCCACCCACTCTTTATTTTCTTGGAAGCTGCCAAAATCAGTTTTATCTTAACAAGTGCTAGCCCCGCCCACCCACCCTTAATTTTCTTGGAAGAGTGGGTCATCTGCCAAAATCAGTCTTATCTTGACAAATATTAGCCCCGCCCAGCCACCCTTTATTTTCTTAAAAGAGTGGGTCATCTGCCAAAATTAGTCTCATTTTGACAAGTATTAGCCCCGCCCACCCACCCTTTATTTTCTTGGAAGAGTGGGTCATCTGCCAAAATCAGTCTTATCTTGACAAATATTAGCCCCGCCCACCAACCCTTTATTTTCTTAGAAGAATGGGTCATTTGCCAAAATTAGTCTCATTTTGACAAGTACTAGCCCCGCCCACCCACCCTTTATTTTCTTAGAGTATATGTCATTTGCCAAAATCAGTCTCATCTTGACAAATACAATACGTCTTCGAGAAAAAGCGTACCAAATTCCAATTTTTTTGTGGATGTAATGACCTTTCTTCCAAATAATGAGGTTTGGTTTATTAATTGCGACTTCCTGATTTCCTCTTAATACGACCAGTTTCACGAAATAATTTTTTAACAAAACTGATTCTTCTAAAAAAATTAGTTTCAAGAACAGTAACACTAGGGAATTTTTGACGAAATTTCTTATGATCTTCAGAGAACATTTTTATCGAATATACGAAAATGAAAACAAAGCACAATTTATGTTGTTAAGACACGAGATTATGGGCAACCCACCAGAACATAGGTTTTATGTTCTAAGAGATGTCTTACGTAATTTGGTTATATAATGGGCAGCCAATATTAGATCACAAATAAAAATATTTAAATGGTACATGAATCACTGAAACCGACAATTTTTTAAATAAATAAATGATAAAATAACACAAAACTCATATACCTAATATATTTCGGAGAGGTAATAAGATGTTTGAGGATAAACTAGAATCCTCATTTTGTTAATTAAATTGTTTTATTAAAAAATATTAGTGCTTCAGTTTCAACGAAAAAGTAATTTTTTGAATGCTTTTATGGAAACGAATATACAAAAATAATATTTTTGTTAATTTGTTTTTTGGTCTTTGTAGATAGTTCAATTCAGTACAAAGAAATTTTTGAGAATACACCAGTCATTTTCGCTGGAGTTCGGCTATAGAAAAAAAGTATAGATTTTATTACCGTAACGAACCACATCGAATTTTTGAAGCATTTTTTTTATAAGTATTTATATTCTTCTATGCATGTTCAACCTATATACGAATACAAAAAAAAAATGGATGCCTATACAATCAAACAGTATATCCAACACTACAATATAATTCGCCTGATAAACTCTCCAGACCATCCAACAGCACATGTTCCCGTCCGTCCCGCCGACCCGCCCCCACCTCCACCCAAGCAGGTACCGCACGTCCAATTATGTCATCATAGTCCTATGCAAATCAGATGCAAATGTGAACAAGTGTCAAACACAACGACAATCGTTGAACAACACAAAACATCACAACAAACTCCGCAACTGCTGCACGTGTTGTGCGGAAGAGTCCACAGAAGAGGCGTGTCAATCGTTCGACCATGTCCAATGGTGACTCGATAGATAGACGGTGTCCGCCCCCACTGTCGGCGCCGTCTTGATCCGAAACCTTCAGTTCATAGCTGGTTCGTGGGCAAGCAAGTGCAAGTGCGTCTCTGTGAACAACCGCGGCATGAAGCGTCGCGGCGCGGGACTCTTTGCTTCCGTCGCTTTGTGGACGCTTCTACTGCAGATCACGGATGCCGACTGGTGGTAAGTCCTGTAGATTTTTCCAGAAAAAAAAACAAAAGAAAATATTTTTTCGCGGACGAAGATCGGGCAAGAAGTACCAGGAAGATAGTGGTTGTGAGGTGAGTGAGTGGTGTGGTGTTTTGGACCGGCCTGTATGTGGTGTGGTGAATTCATTAGTTGTCGCGTAGAGGAAACGGTCTTCCTGCGGTAGTTTGATCGAAGAAAGTGAACGTGCTGTGGTGCTGTGTCTCGGTGTTTTGGAACACTTGTATAGTGTGTTGAAAGCAGTGGCGGCTCGTGTTGTGCATGTTTACAGGTGAGTTCGAAGTAGGAAATTTTCTGATATCACTTAAACTATTAAATATTTAGAAATAGGACTTGCAACAGCACTTTCAGCAACTAGGGTTCTTGTTTATACTTTTTATGTATAAAAAAAATATATATGTTTGCGTATTGTATATGTGGTCATCTTTTTCTATAGACTATATAGGAATGTTTTCTGTATACCCCGTATATCAGGTAAAATTTTATTTATATTTAATTATATTACGTGAAGATGAATAAATCATGGAACATACAAAGTCATTGTAAAATATACAATGTTCACAACTATGGTGCCATAAATTGACCAATGAAAAAATGGCAAATGTTTAAATCCCGATTTTATAAACAACAACTGAATAAAAATATGATATTGTGACAGTTCATTATTTCCAAAAATCTATAAGACAATATATGTGTATTTAAAAATAAAAAATTCAGAGTAGCTGTATATTATCCAACTTGTCATTATAAACATATCTTTTATAGCATTTCGATGACTATTATAAGGCAGTTATTGTGTATGAAACAAAACCATCAAATGGATGTATGTAGTAGAATTATGTATATACAGAATGTTTTTTTAACCAAAAGACAATAGGATATTTTGATGTCCTAAACCACAATACATATAACACCATAGGACCAAAAAATTAAAAAGTCCTGTATATTTTAAAAAATTTCGAAACATATAGATAAGACTTTTGCTTGAAAAATGTATTTCTTCTTATTTTTATTTTTATTTTTTTTTTCTTCTTTGATTGAACGTTTGAATTCATTAATAACTTTTAATAACTTTTGTTTTATGTGAAATGACGTTTAGTCCGATAAGATGACAGCGTAGCTACTGAAACATGTCGATATTGTGTGTTGATTAACGTGTTTTAATTATTATTCAGGTTGCAAATATGACAACGTTGTTGCACATTAATTATGCACGCTAAAATATTAAACATTTAGGCTTCTCTGAAGGTTCTCTGTTGAAACTGAAGCTTTTAAAAACGCTAATTCAAGCCCTATTTCTAACATTATTGGTTTAAATATCGAACAATTTCTTATTGGTGATTCACCCTGTATATAAGTGTTAAATCCAATGGTGGCTCGTGACAGGTGACAACACCTCCCTTTTCCACCGAATTTCTGTATCTTCTAAAAATCCCAAATCGAATATTTTTCTCTCGTAGTATTTATTAATCGGCTGTGAAAAATGAACCATTTGTTCCCTCCACATCCGCAGCACATGGCTTTGTACACAACCAGCTAGCTTTCAAAGTACTTAAAATGTTTATCCCAAGCTCCCGCTCTAACAACTTTCCAGACTTTGATGAAAACTCTTTATCCAAGACTAAACACCTGCTATTGTACCACCAAGAAGTGGTCTAATATTAAAAAAAAAACGGAAAAATGACATAAATAACCCAACCTGTCATACATACGGCTACATTGTACAGTGTAACAGCGCAATAAAACCTCGTCTTAAGGGCCGCGCGGTATGTTATATACAGGTGTCTGTAAAAAAGCGGGACGTTTCGAGACAATAAAACGAAATCGACAAACATTTGACCCGGGACAAATGTCCGACAAGACATTCCACTTAGTCCACCGAGACTTGAATTATAAATATTTGTTAATCGTTCAGTTCAGGTATGGGAGAAGGTAGATCGTTCCTTCGAACGGAGTGGAAACGTTAAAAGCGTTAACAAACGTATTAATTAACATGAGACGTCTAAAACGACTACAGAAATAGTTTTTATAACGTACGAGCGACTGCTCGTCATCATTTAAAAGTCTAATTTTTTGAATGCATTCAACCTGTTCGGATAGACAGACGTGTGCCAAACTCTTGTAGATTTCGAGACGAGAAGGATGACTCCAAATATGGGTTGTTGTTACGTGGATGGAAATTTTACTTCTATATTATATTTTCAGAACTGTAGAACAAAGACTTTTTTCCGAGCTGTGCAACGACTTAATTAAATAATTACACGATATTTTGAAACCTGCCGAGATTTTGTGCTTGATCGTGCTGTATAGCACGTACAGTGCATTTGTTTTCAAATTAACGTCACTAGAAAATTGAAAAAATCGAACACTATTGTTCAGTAGACGTGATTAATCGCGTATCGTTTGCCTTGCAACGATAAGACTAATTGCTTCAAATCAAAACGTCCAAAGCGAAAGAGCATTATTCATTTATAATATCCTAACTGTGAAATTGTTTCGCACTAAAAGTTTCTTTCAAAAACGAAAACAAAAAATTTTGGTTTATTTTTAAAAAGTAATGTGTCTTTTTAAATGTTTTTATGATCATTCTGGACCCATAATTAAGGACACTTTTGTCTCATTAGTGCGTTTAAATGGCTTGTTTTTTCTTACTACTTGCTTTTAATTTCTCTTCGTTTTTCTTGTTTGAAAAGTTAATTACCACATTATTAAAACTAGATACACTGCAGTAAGTATAAATAGACAAACATTTATTCTATTTTAAAGTTTGATTGGTCATAAAAGTGCTTTCACCTCACAAGTGAAAAGATGACATTTGTGCAGGATATTTTTCAACAAACATTCACTTAACACATTTTTGCAATGAAGTCATTTCTAGAGTGGATGAACAAGTAAATTTTTAAATAACTGTCTAAAATTTCAAAAAAGTTCATAGGCCGCTGTAAATTTTTTCTTCTTCTAGATCATTTTTTTAAAATACCTAAGTATTCAAAAAATAGGGCCCTTGTTAGAAACAAAATAATATTAACGTTTTAATCACAAATTTTCAAATTTGTATCTTGAAATTTCATCGATTTATTAAAAAACTAATTTTAGTAACTGATAACACTATTTTTCTAGACTTAGTTTAATTATGCATGGACGACAATCAGATTCACAACTAGGAATAAATTTTTGATAATCTGTTTTATATCTAACATGTTACTCATTAATTTCGATCAACAGAGAGCCAAAAAAAAGCAGTCGTGTTAGTTTCTCATCAATGTTAGCCATAAATTTTGTCAAAAACACGATCTGGGCATTTCTTCTAAGCGGTTTATGCTATCTGGTGTAAAAAGTGAAAATAAAACTAAAAAACCGAAGCTGATAATATCGAACAAAGAAAAACAAAAATTTAACGAGTTTTTATACCTACTAGCTATGGAATTAATTTCGACGTGTGCCATAGTTTTACACAGTTGTTTGCTTTCCCAGCGATTATTAAAATACTTTTTAACAGGCTGTAAAAATTCACAGAATTTATCATTAACCCAAGAATGCCGAGAATCCGTCTAATTAATTAACTTAATTAAAATATTATAGTTTCGACTAGAAACATAATGATCTCGTTTTAGTCCACACGCGACTGTTGTGACACAAAAAAGCTTCCCGATTCCTTAAAACCGTGCACTCGTCCCTAATCCGCAAATAAACCCCTCAAATACCACCACAAACTTCCCCATTTTCGCAACAAACTCACCTTTTATCTCGTTCTGCGTCTACCTGTATTATACCTTCCCATTGTGAAACCAATATAACGAAAGCAATACCAAGTCTTAAGGTCGGTCGGCCGACTGTAGACCGCTTTGTGTTGTCTGAGCAGAGGCTGTTTTCATGGCTTGTTATTAGTTTGTAGGGTTTCTTTAATGGATTCTTAAATATCTGCCGACAGTTTATGGGAAACTCACACCGTACCTGGCGGCTAAAAGCCATCAACACCCGAAAATTTACCGCCGAATTCCTCTCTCTCAACCCTTAATTAGACCTCCACAATGCGACAATGGATCATAAAGTTGGAAAAACACGACACCCCCTTAAAAGCGTAACCGAACCGGGCGATGGTAATCGAAGATCACTTCAACATGCTTCACGGATGACCAGATTACATGTGTCGATTATTTCGGTTCCTTGGGTTGTCAGTGCCCGTTAGGATTTGGGAAAAAAAGAACGCCATCAAAGGACCGGAATCCTCGGAGGAATTTCAGAAACAAAGTGATAATGAAGTGCTAATTATCGTGGAATGTCGGAAACGTCGGATGTGCGGGGAAAAGGTGGATTGTAAAATGGTGATCGTCGACGCGGTGTGTTGTACTGATAATAAAAGTCGGCATTAATTATTGATAATAAACGGAAAATATGTTCTACTTGGGTGGCGTGGCTTTAGTGTGCTGTAAATACTGCTAGACTATGATACCGTACAATCGAAAATATACTACATGCTAGCATAAATATAAATACAATTTCTTAGCAAAATTTTGGGATGACGTCATCAGATTGTTAGTGGGAATAATCAGAAGAATTTTAGTTAGTGTTTTTTCTCACGAAGTGGTGGAACAACAATGAGTCACTAACAGAATTTTGAGGTAAACCCTCCCAAAAACCACTAGTCCCACTAAAATTTATTGTGATTATTGCCTCCATATTTAAAATGTTTTGTGGCAGACCTCCAATAAAACACCAGATGGTCGAAAATAGTTCTGTCGGAAGGTATAATGAACATTTTAGGTAGCAAATCATTGGAATTTTTCTACGTTTGTTGCATTATATTGACAACTGTTATTATTGACACTAATCTGTATTTTATATCCAATTCTTGTTAAAAGCAGTCTTTTTTAAGACTACTCATTTTATCGATAACATCCACAATTAGTCCGTCATTTTCTTAGTTTAGATCGAACTAATTTTTCCACGAACGTCACCATATTCTGTGATCTGTG